CCGTGCTCAGGGCCATGAGGGCTCAGTGTCTGGGGGGCTGCTGGTAGATTCGGTCACCCTGAGCTGGCTTGAATGAGGTGAGAGGCTGCTGAACGGCAATCTAGGGGAGAGGTAGCTGGCGGCGGGAAGCGCAGGGGCAAAGGCCCTGAGGTGGGAGTGACGACACAGCAGCACCCTAGGCTGGCAGGTGCTGGGAGCTGTGCGCTTCTTGCCACTTCCACTTGGACCCCTGGGCTCGGAAGGAGGCGGAGCCCTGGACACAGCCCTCCTCGCTGTCTCCCCAGAGAGCTGCAGTCCATGGCCGACCGGGAGAAGGTCTCACCAGCTGCCATCAAGAAGACCATCCTGGACAAGGTGAAGCTGGACTCCCCTCCCGGCACCTCACTGGCCCCTTCTGGCCACTCCAAGCTGCTGCCCCGCAGCATGGCCCCGGCAGGCAAGAAGGACTGAGGTGTCCAACCTGCCCGCAGGCCACTCTCTGCCTTTTCCTCCTGGGCTCAGAGCTCTGTGCTGGGAGTGTCTAGCCCCAGGCCTCACAGGATGTCCTCACATCCCCCGTGGCTCTGGTCCACTTGGGTCAGTGGAGCTGTAGCCAGGGAGGGGGCACATCACTTCCCAGTGGGAACCTCCATGGTCCCCAAGTGTATCCTGGTCCAGAACAAGGAAGGATTCTCTGACCTAAGCCTCCCCCTTCCTCTGCCCCCAAACGAGGTCAGGACCACCTTCCTCCAGAGCTCAGGAGGCTTGGGGGGCTTCAGCACCCAGTGTCAGCTGGCTTGGGCTTGAGTACAAAGGTCAAGGTCCCCCCCGACCCACCCCACCCCAACCATGAAGGCCCAGCCAAGGAGAGAGCTTGATCCCACTCCTGCCCTTTCTCCACTCTCCACTCCTTCCTCAGTGTGGGAAGGGCCAGAGGGTCCCTGGAATCCAGCAAAAGGGCCCATAGTTCTTGGCCAGCGTGACATTTGAGAAAAGGGCTCCTCAGATGGTTGAACATCCGAGGCCCCAATACACTCAGGCCATCATCTCCCATTCCTGGTCCAACCAACAGATGCTGTCATTTCTGTCTCTGACTTTTCAGGTTAAATAAATTGGTTTCCAGCCCCAGTGTCCTGACTTCTAACTTTGTCACCACCTGTGGAGGGAGGCCCAGACCTGTGCCAGAGGGTCATTGCTGTCCGATGTAACACTGAAGGCTGAGCCAGCAGCCCACAGGCCCAGAGCCCTGCATTCCAACGCAGCCAGTCTGGCTGGTGGGGCTGAGTCTCCAGTGAGCAGAGGGGGAGGGGGCTTCTGGGGCCTCAGTCACTAGAGGCATGACTGGAAGCTGGCACTGTAGGCTGGGCTTGGGAGGCCCTGCTGTGGGAGGGGCATCAGCCTCAGCACCCTCTATGCCTCCTGGTTTGGTGGGGGCAGATGTCTCCCCGACTCACCCAGGTGAGGCCAAGGGTGGGTGAGGAAGAAGCTTCCTAGGAAAGTGTATTAGGGTTCTCCAGAGAAACAACCAGTAGGAGATGGCTTATATATATATAAGAGGGAATATAGAAACAAAAGAGATTTATTATAAGGAGTTGGCTCACACAATTATGGAGGCTAGCAGGCAGGCTGGAGACCTGGAGAGAGCCAATATTTCGATTCAAAGGCCGTCAGGCAGGGAGGGCTGATGTTGCAGGTGACGTCTGAAGGCAGAGGCTGATGGAGAGTTCTGTCTTACTCTGCAGAGGGTTGGTCCTCTATTCAGGCCTTCAACTGCTTGAGTGATGCCCACCCACATATGGAGAGCAATCTGCTTTATTGGTGAAAATGTTAATTTGGTCTAATGTTGAAGTCTACTGATTCACATGTTAATTTCATGCAAAAACACCCTCACAGAAACAGAATAATATCTGGTCACCCCATGGCCCAAAGGTTGATGTAAAATTAACCATCACAGGAGGCCCACGAGATCAAAGGAGCTGCTGAGGTCAGAACCCTTTATGGGGCCAGGAGGGCTCACATTTGTTTGATCAACAGTTACTGAGCACAGAAACAGTAAGACACACACACACCCGGGTGAGTATATCAGAGGAGCGGGGCTGGGTGTCTGTAGGGTGTTGGCAGGGGGCACCCAGGTGAAGCAATGGGTCCCAGGAGGGGCAGGGGAGGGGACCAGGAGAGCCCCTGGGCAGAGGTTTTCCAGGAACTACATTGCAAGGTCTCAACTCCAGTTCGTTTCCTTCCCCTGGGCCTACTTAGAACCAAGGCCTGATGCAAGTGGGGTAGGAGAGGGAAATCTACAGGAGACAGGAAAAACAGAGCAAGTGAGGGGCAAGACCACATACCCTTGACCCTGCCAGGGTGGCCTCCAGAGTCTAGGTCACACCCCACGTACTGACTGCCCAAGGCTCTCACGGGGCCTAGAGTCCCTACAGGGCCCTCCTAAGGCATAAGCCCCTGGCACAGGCCACCATGCTGGTGGATAGAAGCTGGCATGAGGTGGGCTGTGGGCCTCCCCTGGCAAAGTACTTGGCAGTGCAGGGAGACCCTGGCACCCTCCCTCTGGGGAAAAGATGTCCCAGAAGAGATTGTCCCAAAGGCCACACATCTGCCCAGGACCAAAGCTTCCCCCTGGCTGTTCCCTTAAGTCAAGGCCAGTCTCACTGTTTGAGTGCCTGCTGTGTGTGTCAGGTGCTGACCAATAAGACAAGGGGGGCATGCTGCTGCCACATGTGCCCTGGGTCTGGGGTCTGGAGGAAGCCAGCAGGTGGCTCTAAAGTGAAGAATCACACGTCACAGCCTGGGAGGAGGCACAGGAGTCCAGACGAGCTTTGCGGTGGGCTTTGCGCCACCCCGTGAAAAACACACTGGGTTTCAGCAGGCAGGAACGTGAGCCTTGGTCCCAACCACCAAAAGCCAGATGTGGGGAAGTGGGGCAGAGCCACATGGGCCTGAGAAGGGGTGTGATGCGGGAAGAAAGCTATGAGGTCTCTGGTGTTCTGCAGGGACTGACACCTGGGGAACCCCCTGCAAGTGTGAGCACAGACCTGAGCAGAGCAGGCCAGAAGGAGCCGGCAGCTGGTGGTGAGGATGCTAGAGGTCCAAAAGGACCTCTTTCTTGGCCTCAGAGGCAAGTCTTTGTGATTTAGTACAATAAAAGTTGAGGGCTTGGGCTTCTCTGGTGGCGCAGTGGTTGAGAGTCCGCCTGCCGATGCAGGGAACACGGGTTCGTGCCCCTGTCTGGGAAAATCCCAGATGCCGTGGAGCAGCTAGGCCCGTGAGCCATGGCCGCTGAGCCTGCGCATCCGGAGCGTGTGCTCCGAAACGGGAGAGGCCACAACAGTGAGAGGCCCGTGTACCGCAACAACAACAAAAAGTTGAGGGCTTTAGAAGTCTTGCCCTGGGCATATTAAGGCCCTGTAGGTTCAGAGGGAAGCTACTGGAGTCTGGCAGAGAGAGCTGCTGACACCTTGATGTCCCCTGGCTCTGGGGGCCTCCTGGGTTGGCCTCCATCATTCATTCAGTGGCACTGAATCCCCTTGAGGACCCAGCAGCCCTCACTCATCCCTCTTTCAGCTCACCTGATTTCTACTGACCTGCCTGACAGAAGGGTAGGTCACCCTTCCTGGCTTTACACTTGAGAAGGTAAATCAACGTAGAAATTGGATCCCTTCAATTTCGCTTCTTCCTTTCGTCACCTCTTTCTCTGGGAATTTTGAACAGCAGTGAGAACTCCTTACAGAAAGTGCAGGAGCAGACATGGACCAGTGACCTGAGTTCCAGGCAGATGTTGATGAAACAGGAAAGGAAAGGTGCAATTCCTACATCAACTATTAATTCAACAGATGTTTACCCCACACTCACCCTGAGCCGGACTCGTTCCAGGAACCGCCTGAGTCCTTGTCACTCATGTGAGCTCTCGGGATGTTGCGTGAAGACAGACCATTACACAGAGGATCTTGGAGGCGGCCTTGAGAAGACCTAAGTTTTGAATCCTGGACAAGCCCTTCACCTACAGGAGCGTATGGGTCTCCTGTGTGCCAGGCCACTGTTCCTGGCAGGGATGAGACCCGCTCCAGTTACGGAGGCAGTGCATGCAGTCTCACAGGCGGCATCAGAAACACCATGAGAATCTTCTCCATAATGCGTGGGGACCTCGGGTCCGAACCTGCACCCTGGACACGTGGCCTTTGAAACGTCTACACAGAAGGCTCAGGAGAGCATTTGGGCAGGATCACCAGGCCCCGCCTCGAAGGGGGCGTGGCCAGTCGGGAGCGCACTCCCGGGCCAGTCCCGCGAGACCTCACCCACCAGGCGCGGCTTGCGTTGCCCGGGCGACAGCGCCCGGGCGCGCAGGCGCAGTGCGGGCGTGCCCGCCCCCCGCCGCCGCCGCCGCCGCGCCTTCCCCTTTAAGCCCCAGCCGGTCGCGTCGCCGCTTCATGAATGGAGCCCACGTGACCAAACATCATGTGACGTCTGTGGAGCGGCGGCGGCGGCGGCAGCGGAGGAGGATCCGGAGCCCCAAGCCTGGTCCGGCCCGGCCTTCCCAGCGCGCTCGGCCCGGCCCGCGCAGGCGGCGAGCCCCCACTCTGGGCCCGGAGCCCCCGCGCGGCCAGCCCCGCGCGGCCTCGGAGCGCCCGCCCCGCCCCGCCCCGGCCTCGGCCCGCCGGGCCCGCAGTGTGGTGGGTGAGTGCGGCGGCGGCCGGGCCGGGGCCGGGGCCGGGGCCGGGGCCGGGGCCGGGGGCCAGGGCCGAGCGGGGGGCGGGCGGGTGCTCCGATCCGGGGGCGGGTGCTCGCGGGGCCGCTGCTCCTTCCGGCGGCCTGTGGCGGCGTGGTCCGGATGCTCCGGGCTTTGGGTCTGCCCTGTGCCCTGCTGGCGGCCCATGCCTCGATTTCCCCACCGGTCCGGAGCGGCTCCTGGTCCCTCCGCCGGGGGTGCTGGGGTGGGCGCGCGGGCCCGCAGGGGCGGGGTGGGGCGTGCGCTGGTCTTGCTCGGTGAAGCCGGGGAGTCCTGGAGGGAGGGACGGCCGGGGTGGCGGGAGGAAAGGGTGGGGTCGAGCGGGGCGCCTAGGGCTCCGTGGAAGAGCGCGGCGGCCCCAGCCTGAGCTGCTGATTCATCAGGTGTCTGTGTCAACGCCTCCCAGGCGCGGGGTCCTCGGCTGGCTAGGGGGAGGAAGCGGCACGTGGGGGGGGGGTGGCTGGGAAGACCCTGCCCGCTCCGGCTTCGCTCCGTCACACGCTTGCCAGAGCCCAGAAGGAGACTTGCTGAGTCATCAGCATGAGGTCACTCGATGCTCGTCCTGATGCCTGGGGGGATTAGAGCTAGGGGCCTGAGAGGCCGGGAAACAGGGGTAAGAGGGAAACCGTGGGGAGTGAGAAGGGGCCAGGCCCTGGGCTGGGGCGCCTGCTTAAGTTTGGGCTGATGTGGGAGTTTAGGGTAGGGTGGGTGAGGAGTAAATGGAGAGGTCGCGGTGCAAGTTATCCCGGGGTAGAGGGTGAAGCCCCTGGCCTGTTCATCCCCTCCCAGGCAGGCTCTTCTCAGGCTGCTGGTCCCTGACCCGCCTCTGGGACAGCTCCCCAAACTGGGAAATAGTTGTGAGTGAGAAGAGGGGAGGAGCTTAGGGGGGCCGTGCTTGCGGGCTGGGAAGTAGGCTTTCCCTATGACTGGTCTGTTTGGCCAGGCTGGAAAGTCTCCCGGTGGGAAGAGACCGAGGCAGTGGGTGAAGGAGGGATGCCTGTACTAGAGTCCTGGGTGACAGTGGACAGGGCAGAGGGCGAGTAGGCGCAGCTCTATCAGGAAATTGTAAATGAGAGGAGGCAGCAGGACTTAGACTCTGATCAGGGGAGCGAGGTGTCTGGTGAGCAGGCTGTGGCTCTCTTCGCAGCCTGGCCTTGGGGTCCGGGTTGAGGCTGTGGGTGGTGGTAACTTTGAGGGCGCCCAGCAGGTGGACTGGTGTGGATGGCATGGGTTGAAGAATCCCAATCACCCCAAAGTTGTTCCACTTGAGGTTGGGGCGCAGTATTGTGCAGGTTAGCAAAGAACGTGGCCCTGATGGGTGTCAGGCCAGGTGGTAGGGACTCCTGGGGAGTGACAGCCTCAGGGTGGTGTGGCTTGAGCCACTTTTCCTGGGTGTATGAATGGTTCCTGGTCTTCAGGGGTGGGGGAGTGTTTCGTCTAGACCAGAGCTGACCATTCTTGCCCATGCGTTCGTGGCTAGGTAAGGCTGACCTTGTAGTTTGTCCTCAGGCATTCCCTGCCGCTGCCCTCTCCCCCATCCCTGAGCTTATAGATGCCAGATGTCTTAACACTTCAGCTGATCTTTTGGCTGGAATTTTATGCCCCAGGAAAATGCAGATTCCTGGAGGGATTTTTTTTCAGATCTTCTCAGCTACTTATGCTTTGGTGGAAATTAAGTTTTAGACTTTTTTCAGAGGGCTTCTGGAGGAGGTGGGTCTAAAGGGCAGGGTGGGAGTGTAGCGGGCTAGGTGGGGGCTCCAGAGTGACCAAGGCCACACCTGCCTTGGCTTGGGAGGCTTGGCCACTGGGGTTTGCAGGACAGGAGAAGGAACAGGGGCGGGCTGGCCTCTTGTCTACTGTCCATGCCCTGGAGTTTGGGCCCAGGGGAAGGGGATGGAGTTCTTTCCCCTTTCCTGCTGGCTCTCACCTTGAGTGGGTGGCCCTGAGTACCTTGGTGGATCAGTGCTCTTGGGACCACCCATGCCTTCTCCACAAAATGTGCTCAGCCTCAGGGGGAGCAGAGGCGGGAGGAGGGCTGAGGGTTCTTGATCTAGTCTCTGGGATCCCCTCCCTCTGGTTTCTAGAGGTGCCCTGAGCCATCAGTCCTAGCCCATGCCCAAAAGCTGTCTCTGTCCCATCAGTGTGTGCCCCCAGGTAGTGGAGACAAGGCCGGGAGGCTGGAAACATGGGCTGTGCTGAGACCCACCCCTCCCCCACCCGAGCACAAGCACACCTTTGATTAGGAGGCGATTGGCTTCACTTGTGCTGAGTTCAGGGCTTCTGTGGAGGGTGAAATCTGCCGAGGAGGCACTTTTTAGCTCCCAGCCGCCACGCTCGGCACTTTTCTGTGTGATCTCTTCAGGAAGTCACCGTGTGCTCAGCATTCGTAGGGTGGAGGGAGGATGGCGGGTGGGAAAAGCTGGTGCCAGGGCTTTTCCTTTGGACTGACAGTGGCAGGACCAGTGCAGTGACGCTGGACCTGGACCTGAGGTTGGGGGAGCTCCTCCAGCTCTGCCTTGAGGACTTGACTCCCAGGGTAGGCGTGGGGCCCTGAGGACCTTCTGGCCTCCAGCTCCTCTGCCCCATCCTCTGCTCTGGAAGAACATTGGGGCCGGAGCCTCGGGGCATGGCTGTGGGGAGGCGTCTCTGGCCCCCTTGCCTGCAGCCTCGCATCCTGATGCAGGGCTGGGTGAGGAGGGGTCTCTACCCTGAGTGAGTGTTTGCCTCCACCTCGCCAGCCATACTTTAGTGACCTGATAGGGCTGAGAAGACCCCGCAGCCCCAAATTGCCTGAGTGCTTGTAGCTTCTCCAGGAGGGCACCACAGTGCTTGTTAGGCCTCCATTTACCTCCCTGCATCTAACCTGGAAGGTCATGGAGGGAGTGGGGGGGGGCAGAGGGGGTCCAGCTGAGCCAGGAATCCCAGGACTAGGTGGGTAAAAATGTCCTTGGCAGGGCTGCGGAAAAGATGACCAAGTGGGTGGGAGGGTGGCCTCTGGTTTTTGTTCCTTGCCCTGTGGGTGCGGACCCTGAGCAGGGAGCCAGAGAGTAGTCAGTGGCCAGAGAGGGCTGAGCAGGCCGCTGGGGGTCGATTGTGGGCACTCTTGTGAAATACCCTGGATAGGGTGGGGCAGAGTACAAAAGGCTGCAACCCAAAGCCACAGGATGGTTACTCCATCAGCAGCAGAGGTGGACAGAGAGGGCCAAGGGGCCTGGGGCCCGGCTTCTCCGGCTGGAGTGTCTGCCACCAGTAGGTTTGGGGAACTCCCACCAGTGTTAAAGACAGAGTCAGAGCTGGTTGGACAGCTCCGTTTGCTGTTCTTCAAAGTGAGCAGTCTGGGAGAATTGGCGCTCTCCTGCATCCTCTCCTCTGCCCGAGTCCCCAGTGGGGACACCCAGTGAGCCTTCATGGGAGCAGGGCTTTGCCCCAGGCCAGCTTAGGGGAGGTAGAGCCCTAGAGTACACACTCACAGGGGCGCTGGCGGTGGCCCTCACCTGCTGTTGGCCAGGCTGGCCTTCGTTGCCCCAGCAGCTTGCTGCTGCCCGTCCCCTGGAGCTGTGTTGGCTGGCGGCCTTGGGGAGTGCCAGGCTGGTGAGAGAGCGGGAGCGATGTGCTGAGTCAGCATGACTCGCCAGGAACAGCCGTGCTCTGGGGCGCACTGGGGTTATTTTTAAAGCTCCCGGCTTCCTTCTAGGCTGGCGCCTCCCTCATCCTTCTAATCTCTCCCCCGGCCCCTTTTCTTGCCTCTGCCTCCCTAATAGCCCTTCAGTTCCCCTTCCCCCATCAGACCCTCCTGGTCTCCCACCTGGTTCCCTAGGGGCAGGGGGACAGGGAGCAGCCCAGCTTGGGAGAGGCGAGGCTGAAGGGCGGTCCTTGAGGCCAGGTATCAGGGGAATGGGCGGGCAAGGGGTGAGGCTGGGGACTGGGTGCCTTCCCCTGAGTGGGCAGAGGGTGTAAGGGGGCTCAGGGCTCTGTGTGGACTGGGTAGGGGAAGGGTCTCCAGGGTCCTGACCTACGCTCCCTGTCTCACAGAGTGCCTGCTTGCTGTGCCCTCGGGTTATGACGACCCCCAATAAAGGAAACAAGGCCTTGAAGGTGAGCAGATAGGGTGGGCAGTGTCTCAGGGCTGGGGTGGCACAGGGGCAGACTGCCCCCACTTGGCCTGTGACCTCGTGCGCTATGCCCTCCCCAGGTGAAGCGGGAGCCGGGAGAGAATGGCACCAGCCTGACAGATGAGGAGCTGGTGACCATGTCAGTGCGGGAGCTGAACCAGCACCTGCGGGGCCTGTCCAAGGAGGAGATCATCCAGCTGAAGCAGCGCCGGCGCACGCTCAAGAACCGCGGCTATGCCGCCAGCTGCCGCGTGAAGCGGGTGACCCAGAAGGAGGAGCTGGAGAAGCAGAAGGCAGAGCTGCAGCAGGAGGTGGAGAAGCTGGCCTCGGAGAACGCCAGCATGAAGCTGGAGCTCGATGCCCTGCGCTCCAAGTACGAGGCCCTGCAGAACTTCGCCAGGACCGTGGCCCGAAGCCCTGTGGCGCCAGCTCGGGGTCCCCTTGCTGCTGGCTTGGGGCCCCTCGTCCCTGGCAAGGTGGCCGCCACCAGCGTCATCACGATAGTAAAGTCCAAGACGGACGCCCGGTCGTAGGGATGCGCTTGCCCAGGCGGGTCTGCAAGGGGCCAGTAGGCGCATGGCAAATTCAGCAGCCCTGTCCCCTTCTCCCTCCCTCCTCTTTCTCCTCTTCTCTTCTTTTCCTCCTCTCCTACCTCCTCCCTTCCCTGCAAAGCACAACCTGCACCCCAGGGGCACCAGGCTGAGCCCCTTTGATCTCGTCGTTGTCATCGTGTGTTTTGTACGTTGAGATTGGTCAGTTTGGTGGTGACGTGGGGTTGCACCTGCCCCCTTTGTCCCACGAGCAGGTGGGCTTGGAGTCCAGAGTCGGCCTGTGGGAGTGGACAGAGAGAAGGATTGACCGGGTGCTCTGGGGCACATGTGTCCCTGAGCAGGGAGGGCTGCAGGGCAGGAGAGAGGCTGTTCTCCTTGCAGAATGGCCCACAGGCTCTGACAGCCGCCAGGCTAGCGGGAGGCTGGGCAGTTCACTCTCAGCTCGGCCTGCAGGCGTAGATAGGCACTGCTCTGCAGAGTAGGCTGTCCCTGAGGGCCCTGGACAGGTGGGCCACTGGTCTGGCGCTGGGGGGGATGGGGTGTCGTGTGGCTGTGGGCCGGGGGCCTTGGCACTCACACCTGACGTGTTGCACTGAACAAGACCAAATCACTGGTTGTGAGCGTACGTGAAGGGTGTGTCCAGTGTCCTGCGATGGGTCCTGTGTCACTGTTTACATGACCTATTTGTGTGGTTACATAGCCCTTTATTTAAAAGAGAGAAGTTCCTTTTACGAAGTTATTAAATTATATGTTTAAAAGCTAAAGAAAAAAAAGCTGCAGAGTATTTATAAAACTGTCTTTTTAAAAAAAAAAAAAGCAAGAACATTTGACCGTATAAACAGAAAAGGGAAGAAAGTATAATAGAAACTTTGCTACTTTAAAAAAAGAAAAAAAAATCCTTTCTTGTAAACTTACAGACAAGTCTTTGTGGCTGTTGAAGTTTAGTTTTTATATACACAGAGTTATCAGACGTTATTTATAAAACTTAGTTAAAAAAAGACAAAAAAAAAAGCCAAGCCGTGAGCGACCAGAAGGCGCGTCCTGACGTCCTCTTTGCTATCTCTTTTGCAATTGTACCGAAAGTGACTTACTCCTTTGCCCTTCCTGCTTCCGTCTCTTGCCGGTGCCGTGGTGTTGTCTGTGCCTGGTGAGGTCTTGTGCAGCGTCACGTGCTGGTGCTTCTGGTGACCTTTGACCTGTGGGTGTCACTTCTTGTGTCTGTTCTCCCGTGTTTGTTTTTTGGATTTGGTTGTGGTTTTGCTTCTGCTGGCTTGTCAGGCCTGGGCTGTAGTGCCAAGCTGCGCCTGCTCCAGTGGAGCTTGGGGTGTCTGTGTCTCCAGCCCAGCCTCTTCTGCTTTGGCACCCACCCCGAGCCCCCGGGGGGTCAGATGCAGGGCTCTGCCACACCCCTCTGCTGACCCTTGGTTTCGCATGTGTGTCTCAGGCTTGGGCTGATCCAGTGGCAGGGTAGGTGAAACTGGGGGTCATCCTGGGCCCCCCTCCCGCCCCCTCACTACTTCCTTGCCCACCATCTCTGGCCCTGGATGGGGGCTTGCAGGGACCACAAGGAGTCACTGTGGGTGCCCGCCAGGCCAGGGCCAAGCTGCCCCCGACTGTCTTCCTTCTGGCCTCCAGTCAATGTGTTTGGGCTCCAGCCACCAATCTGGGGTTTGTTCCGGTGGGTTTTGTGTGGGCCTCAGCAGGGGAACCCCAGGGGCCCGCAGCCCACTCATCCCAGAACTGTTTCCATGCTGCGGGACGGTGCTTCCCAGGCAGAACCAGGTGGTTTCGGGGCCCACCTGGGGCAGCCCCTTCTCCTTGCCTGAGGGCCTGGGGGTCTCCACCAGTGCCAGACAAGGGCTACGGTCTCCAGGGCCAGGTCCTGTCCCCCCTCTCCCCCTGAACATGCTGGCAGCTCTTGGCTATGGGCCTTCTTTCAACTCCCTTTGGGGTCTGTGTCTTCCAGGGATCCACTGCTTGGCTTGTGGAGGTGCTTCCCCGGGGCTGATCCCACCTCCCCGTCCTGGCCACTCAGTGAGGCAGTCAAGTCTCCCAGACTTGGCTCAGGCAGCTGCTCGTAGGCATGTGATGGGGCTGCCTGTGGTGCCTGCTCCCCAAGAGGCTACTGCCCTGGCTCTGGCCGTGTGGGGCTTGGCTACTCCTTGGAGTTGCTGGTTGGCTTCTCTGGGGGTCCTGAACCCCTGAAAAGGCACAGACAAGTGAGCTAATGAAAAGAAAAACAATGCGGCCAGGCAGGGTTTAACCTTGTGGACAGCAGAATCTTCATCCCAGAGTTTACAGTGTGCCTGTGGGATAGGAGGGGGGATGTGCTGTCAACTTCTGTTGTCTTGATGGGCTGATCTTGGCCCTAGATATTCAGAGACATTCCTGGCTGTACCCAGGTTGGCCTGCAATGGAGATTTTGACCATTGACTCTGAATCACTTAGTGGCTTCCTTTGCCTGCCTGCAGTCTGGCTTTGTCTACCTAAGGTCCAGACGAGAGTAGTTGATGTTTCTTGTAGCAGCAAGTTGGAATCATATCATAAGAATCCCTAAAGAGAGATCATTCCCTGTCCTGGACAGGGGGAGGGACAGGCTCCCCATGTCCAAGTACAGTTCCCACTTTTATCCTGGCTGGGAGGTGGTCCTCCATCTCTGTGCACCCCTGCCATGCTGTAGACCTAGAGAGAGGAGGGTTTGAGGGTGAGCATGTGCTGAACAGAAATTGCAGGTCCTTGGTTTCGTTTACAGACGCTTCTGGAGTTAGTGAAGCTATACTTCCTTTCGAGGTTTTTGGATTTGGAGCAACTGTTCCTTGGGTCTGGGGGAGCATCCTGCTCCCATCAAGCCAGTCTCTCTGGGGCTGCTGTGCCCCTTCTCCCCTTCACTTTGGTTATTGACAGTAGATCCTGTGTCCACATGTGACCATTTGGCGTCTTTCTGATTCTCGTTAATTCGTTTTTCCTACTGTGAGCGTGTTGTGTTCTCTCTCCTCAACTTTTTGACACAGCGAATTGAGGGCTTTGGCCGAGGCCAAGTCTCCCAAACTTGTCCGCTAAGTAAACCATAATGTGCACCTTCCTTCACACCTTGCCCTTGCCCACATCCTCCCTATCCCAACATGGACACTCAGATTTCAGAGGAGAACCCTTTGAGAACAGGTCAGCTCCTTCCCAGAGTATGGCCCCAGGGAGCCCTCCCCATGGCTCTTGGCTGCTGCTCCAGGTGGCACTGCGTTTGTGCAGGTGAGAAGTTGTGGCTGCTTTGTGGTGTGCTGGTTTGTGCCGGGTGCCAGGCCTCCCTGGAGGCTTTTCTACTCTTGGTCCAGGCTTCAGGTCTGGGCATAACCCTGATCAGCAGCAGCAGCCTTGATGGTCGGTGGCTGGGCCCACGGCTCTGATGAGCTGCAGCCTGCTTTGGGATGGGTGGTCGAGCCCCATCTTGTCCCTGCGACTTCCCTCTCTGGGGTGGCCGGTTGGCCAAAGCTTCCGTCCACAGCTGGGAAGCCACAGCCTGCAACACTGTTTCCGCTCTAGGATCTTTTAAGTTACTTTTTTAGGCTGTGGTTTGGTGAAAGGAACCAACACATTAACGATTTTTTTTCCCCAGAAGCCACTGAATAATTCTTGCTGGCCGGTTTTCGCCTTCCTTTTGGCTGTCTGGTTTTGAAGCAGATGGGAAGAGGCAGGGGTGTGCCCTCGAGACTGATGGCTTGTCCTGCTCTGGCCTGTGTGTCCTGAGCATGTGCTGTACCTGTTGGACCAGTCGCACACATTTCCACCCCACTCTGCAGCAGCAGCCTTGGTACGTGGGTGTCCCTTCAGTCTGAGCTAGAGTGTAGGAGAGCTTGTCCCCGATGACCTGTGAAGGGGGACCCCTCTAACAGCCTCATGTCCCAGCCCCCCCCCTTCCCCACATCCCCTCAATCTGAAGCCTTTAACCAAACGGGAGTGGGTACAGAAAGCCTTCTCCTGGCATCTTAGGGCAGCAGGACAAGGGCTGTCCAGTGTGTCCAGCTCTGCTGCTCTCCTGGCGCTGAGAGGTGGGCGGAGCAGAGTTGATCAGACCCTGCGTGCCCTGCCTAGGGCTGAAGACAGGAGGTGGGGTGGGTACGCTGGGATCTGCCGGGGCGGGCGGGGGTTGTTGAAGATCCAGGTGGGGAGGGGCCCCACTGGAGCACTCTGGCTGACCTGGGTGGCGTCGGCCTCGCGCCCTCCCTACCCTGTGCAGTATTTATTGCTAAATTATTGTCCAGGAGGGGCGGCACTGGGCCGGGCCCCGGGTATTTATTGCTGTACATAGTGTATGTTTGTGATATATAAGGTTTTCTTTATTTTGTATATGATCAATAAACACCTTTTAAAGAGACTGGCAGGTGCTTCCTTGGGGCGACGCAAGGGCGGGGCGGGCCTCGCGCGCATGTGTCGGCGCGCGGCCTGCCGGGAGGCGGAAGCGGAAGCGCGAGTCTCCCCGGGAGAGATGGCCGCCGGGGGTCTGAGCCGGTTGGAGCGCAAGGCGGCAGAGCGGGTCCGGAGGCTGCGGGAGGAGCAGCAGAGGGAGCGCCTCCGCCAGGTACGGCGTTGCCCGCCCCGCGCCGCGCCCCCAGTCCGCGCCGCCCTCACCGCCTGCCCCGCGCCCGCAGGTGTCGCGCATCCTGAGGAAGGCGGTGGCCGAGCGCAGCGCGGAGGAGGGCCGGCTCCTGGCCGAGAGCGAAGACCTGGTGACCGAGCTGCAGGGCCGGAGCAGGCGGCGCGAGGGCCTGAAGCGGCGGCAGGAGGAGGCGAGTCCGGGGTGCGGGCGGGCCGGGCGGGGGCGCGGGCGAGCCGGGGCCGGCTCACGACCGACTTCGACGTCTCGGCAGGTGTGCGACGACCCGGAGGAGCTGCGGAGGAAAGTCCGGGAGCTGGCTAGCGCCGTCCGCAACGCCAAGCACCTGGTCGTCTACACGGGCGCGGGGATCAGCACGGTAAGGAGACGAGGCAGGGACGGCCGCGCCCCGGGTCGGCTCCCAGGTTGTGCGAAACACGGACCGCCGGGGGCGGGCGTGGGGCGCCCCCTTCTGGGTGTCGGACCCCAGCACCGAGCACCGTTTTCTGTTAAGCAACAGTACCGATTCGCAAAAGCTCGACTTAAAAGCACTTCTTGAGGGTCTTTCTTTTCTTAGAGACACTCAGAACGACTCTATTTGGAACTTCGAAAAATAGATAAACATTCTTAAATGCTTGAATTTTGTATTGTATCCAGTTAGAGACAGGAAAGGAAGAGGGATAAAAACGGGATGTAATAGTTTGGTGCTTGTCCCAAGGTTATGTATTGGCAGAGCTAAACCCCATACTATCTTCTGATTCCCCATTCGTTGTGTCCGCTGAATGTTGAAGTAAGGTAAGTGGAATGCAAGGCAGTATGCATTAGAGTGCACCAGGTAAGGAAGAGAAATGCTTTGGCTTTTGATAAGTTTTATCAGGAAGCTACCTGGGTGGTAGAATGTGACTAGCTTTGACAGTGTGGATAGCACGTTGTTAAATTGCTGGGTGCGAGTTGAGTGTGACCTACATGTAGGTCCAGCAGAGGTGAATAGCAAGGATTTCTGTGGAGAGGTCCATAGGTGATGATAATAAACCATATAAACGAATGACTGTAATGTGAAGCTGGCTGTGCTAGGCTGCTAGAATAGAAATCCAGATACGCCTTCTGTGGTCTCTGAGAGCTGGGAAACCCATCTGGTTGTTTTTTTATGAGAGGTGGCATTGAGTCTGGGCCTTGAAGGGTGGGTAGGATTTTACAGATACTTACGAAGTAAGACACTCCATACAGGGATGACTGAAGAAGCCCAGTAGCGAGAATGCGTGAGGTATGTTAACTGCTTTAACTTATCAACACTTGGAGCCCTGGCACATGTGACCTCTTGTCATCATGTAAAAGCAGTAATACCATCTTTTAAAGAACTGTAAGCAGCTACTAAAGCCACTTGCTGTTCATTAATTTGCTCTGTTACTGTTTGAGGTTTCCTTTTTCCATGTGGGTCAGACCCACTGGTCAGGTGGGCATTTTTCTGAGCTTTAGCAACAGGGAATAGACAGGGCTCCCTACAAGGGAGGTCACTCACACCTCAGGAAGCACAGGGCACCTTGATCCTGGCACACTGTCTGTTTTCTTCTCTCGGGGTGGCTCTGTTTCACTGGATTGGGAACTTGGGAGACGCAGTAATGTTTATCTCATTGAAGAGGTTGGTCTGTGTGGAGGTAGGCCAGGAAACACTTACAGCATCAGGATGTGAGGACGTGGAGGGAGGCATGCAGTGAGCCTAACCAGTCCTCCCTCTCAGTATGAGGACAGACATGGCCACAGAGCCCAGGCTGTACTACATGCTAGAGAGTCTCCCAGGGCGGGCAGGGCTCCTTGGAGCCTAGAAGGATGAGCTGGACCAGGTTTGGGTGCAGGGGTCCTGGCAGAGGGAAGGAGCCACAGGGGGTGCACTCCATCTGGGAGGACAGGTTAGACTAGGAAATGCTCAGCCTAAGGAACGAATTGAGGCCAGTCTGTGGGCCAGCACTTCTCAAAGTGCTGGGAGAAATTATTGGGAATTCTGCCAGTGCCTACAGTGATGTCTTTTCACTGGGCTTATCTCCTTTCTGAACCTGCAGGCGGCTTCTATCCCAGATTACCGGGGTCCTAATGGAGTGTGGACGCTGCTTCAGAAAGGAAGAAGCATTAGGTAAGCAGCCTAGCACAGCCTTCCCACCTAGTTAAGCAGGGACCTGACCTTGAAGCTCTCCTCACCTTCATTTCCCGTCTGCCTGGCAGTGCTGCCGACCTGAGTGAGGCCGAGCCGACCCTCACCCACATGAGCATCACCTGCTTACACGAGCAGAAGCTGGTAAGAGCCCAGGGTGGCTGGTGCACAGCCATCCTTCGGTATCCCCCTTGGATACCAAAAGCTGAGGGTGCTCAAGTCCCTTGTGTAAAATGGCGTAGTGTTTGTATATAACCTGCACACCTCCCCCCATACTTTATTATTTACTTATTTATTTATTTTTAAAATAAATTTATTTTATTTATTTTATTTTTGGCTGCGTTGGGTCTTCGTTGCTGCGAGCGGGCTTTTCTCTAGTTGCGACGACCAGGGGCTACTCTTCGTTGCGGTGCGCGGGCTTCTCACTGCGGTGGCTTCTCTTGTTGCGGAGTTCAGGCTCTAGGAGCGCAGGCTCAGAAGTTGTGGCACACAGGCTTAGTGGCTCCGCGGCATGTGGGATCTTCCCGGACCAGGGCTCGAACCCACGTCCCCTGCATTGGCAGGTGGATTCTTAACCACTCGCCACCAGGGAAGTCCTCCCCACCCTCATACTTTAAATCATCTCTGAATTACTTGTAATACCTAATAAAATGTCAGTACCACTTAAACAGATATAAATACAATGTAAATGCTACACAGATACTTGCCAGTGTGTGGCAAATTCAAGTTTTGCCTTTTGGAACTTTCTGGATTTTTTTTTCCCCGAATATTTTTGATCTTTGGTTGGTTGAATCTGCGGATGTAGAACCGTCAGGTACGGAGGGCTGACTGTACTCACTGGGTCCACGGCGAGGACCGGGAGGGCCACCTTGGTGCCCAGGTGACAACTGCATCCTACTTCCATCAGCCAGTGGACCCTGTGATGAGTGCCCACCAAGCAGTTTAGATTCCTGGTTTGAGCCTACCTCTACTCCTCCTGTGTTTCCTCTCCAAGAGTAGAGAGCAGCCTCTCCGCTGAATCATCACATAGAGGGTCCACACAGGCCCAGAGCTCGTGAGGGTAGCCCCTTCCCCTTGTGTTTCTCTTGCATTTTTCCCACAGACCTCAGGAGCCACCTAGATACAGGGGAGGCTAGTAGGAAACCTCTGGAGATCCTCTACTAAGCACCTGCAGCCGAGTGGGGAAGGGGTCGAGCCTCCTGGGCCTTCAAGGACCTGAAGCGTGATGACCCAAGAGAGCATCAGTTTGGGCCCCAAGCTCCTTTCCAGCCAAGAGGGGGCGGTGCAAACATTTGCCCTCCTGGGGGCTCCTAGGGCTTCTGAGTCGTTGGGGGTGGGCCCAGGGCCCTCCCCACCGGAGCCTCCTGAGTCCTACTGGGACCAGCCTGCTGCCCTGGGTTTGCCTTCGATGCTTTGTGCAGGGTCGGAGTTGCCGCTGGCTTGGGGGCTCTGGGGCGGGCAGGGCTCGGTATGGTTTCACTCCTGAGTGCTGCTTCCCCCCTTCCTCCTGCTGACTGCCACTGTCGCCCTTCCAGGTGCAGCACGTGGTGTCTCAGAACTGTGACGGGCTCCACCTGCGGAGCGGGCTGCCTCGCACAGCCATGTCGGAGCTCCACGGGAACATGTATATCGAAGTGAGCGGTCCCTCTGGGACTCGGGGGCCTGGGCAGGCCAGTGGCTCCTGCTCACAGGGCCCTACTCTCCTCAGGTCTGCACAGCCTGCACTCCCAACAGGGAGTATGTGCGGGTGTTTGATGTGACGGAGCGCACTGCCCTGCACCGACACCAGACCGGCCGCACCTGCCACAAGTGCGGGGCCCAGCTCCGGGACACCATCGTGCACTTTGGGGAGAGGGGGACATTGGGACAGCCTCTGAACTGGGAGGCGGCCACCCAGGCTGCCAGCAGAGCAGACACAATCCTGTGCTTAGGCTCCAGCTTAAAGGTATGCGAATGGCACTGTGGATGGGAACGGGTGAGCCTGCCCGCAGCTGGCCAGCTCAGCCTTAGACCCCAGCTTCCTGTAGCCTCCTTCCCTGGTGTGTGTGTGTGGTCTGTCTGTCCATCCGTCCATTCCCGCAGGTTCTAAAGAAGTATCCACACCTCTGGTGCATGACCAAGCCCCCCAGCCGGCGGCCCAAGCTCTACATTGTGAACTTGCAGGTAACTCAGGTGTTCAGAGGTGCCTCCCTAGACCTGGGCCTTAGGAGAGCCAGCAGTCCCTGGGACATTTATGTCCCACACTAATGCACCACGAGGTCTGGCTGAGTAGGGGCCAAGGCCAGCAGGCCATTGGGAAGGAGTGAGGTGCTGTCCTCACTTACCTTCTCCTGTCCCCAGTGGACCCCGAAGGATGACTGGGCTGCCCTGAAGCTGCACGGAAGGTGTGATGACGTCATGCGGCTCCTCATGGATGAGCTGGGCCTGGAGATCCCCCGCTACAGCAGGTGAGGGGGCACAGACACATCCCCCACTTCCCTGCCCCTGTGTGGATGGGTTGTGTTGTCTTTTGTGAGCTGAGTGTAGAGAAAGCTCTGAGCTGCGGCAGATGGCATCTGAGGCGTGACTGCAGTGTGGTGGCCTCTGCAGGGACCAGCCCCAGCATTGGCTGAGGTGTCCTGGCTGGCGTGATTCCTGCGGGGAGAGGGAATCTGCCAGGGCACACCTGGATGTCCCCCTTCACCTCAGGCAGCCTGGACGGGAAGGTGCCTTGAAGGGATGTGCTCTCAGCAACTCTGCTCGTCAGGATCTGGGTGCACTGGCTTGGGGAGCTGGAATACTTTGGGGAAGCTTAAACAGATTGTGCCTGAATACAGAATTTGTGATAATTGAGATGTGGTGTGTGTATTGAGTGAAAAGTTTACACTTTCTTTCTCTGTGAATTTTCAGGGTCTTATAGGGGAAATCAATAACTTCTTTTAATCAAAGGGTTGGAGAATTAAGGATCCCTTCACCTTCTGGGCCTGGCAATTCTTGTATGTTATGTTTGTGGTGTTCTGTAATGTGGGCCTGTTGTGTACTGTACTTTTTTTTTTTTTTTCACATTAACTTAGCTCATTTTCTTTATCAGTGCTTATCTGTATATTAAGTTTATGATATGTGGTTCTACATCTCAGTCAGACACATGATCTCTTCACGGTGTAGTGTTTAGGCCACGCCTCCCTAGTCAGCTTCCCTCCCATCAAGTCCTGCAGTCTGGGAAGGGGAAGAGGGTCTGGTCTACCTGTCCCTGGCCGTACAAGTGAAAGGTGGGGCCCAGAGTTGGCTAGTGACTCACCCCTCCTGGGGCTACTGCCGCCCTACCCCATGTGTGCACAGCCCCCTCAATCACCGACGAGGACTGAGTTCTGCAGAGGCTGGGATAGTCTGGGTGCTGGCCTTTGAGTTACTTGCGGAGCTTACCCCTCTCGCAGATGTTGTGGAGCTACCACTGAGCAAAGCCCAGCCATGGTTAAGACGTGGGAGGGATGCAGGGTGACCTCAGTCAGCTTTCCCGTCCTGGGGCGGGTTGTGATTGTGAGGGGCTCCCAGGCACGCCTGACCCAGCTTTCCCTTTGCATAGGTGGCAGGACCCCATCTTCTCGCTGGCCACTCCCCTGCGTGCGGGTGAAGAAGGCAGCCACAGTCGCAAGTCGCTGTGCAGAAGTCGAGAAGAACCTGGGCCTGGGGACCGGGGTGCACCACTTAGCTCAGCCCCTATCCTGGGCGGCTGGTTTGGCAGGGGCTGCACCAAGCGCACAAAAAGGAAGAAAGTAACATAACCTGTTGCATGACCGAGAACAGTGATGGCACTTTGCAAATGACCGGGACTCTTCTTCAGGGGCAAGTGGCACTGTTAAGGCCAGGACTGCCCCTGGAATTCTCTGGGGGTGACATTTTCACCCTGACATGTTTAGCCATTTGTCATTGTGGAAAGCTCCCTTGCACTGCTGTGGTTGCCCCCCTGCATGGGCCTAATGATGGAAGACACCTCGCCCAAGCAGCCTCTTGTAAAGAGGTGGCAGCCACACCCTCTGTGAAAACAGGACTCGTGTTATTTCACACTTGGCCGCAAAGAGGAAGCACACGGCTGCCTTACCTCATTCACTAGGCTAGTCTCAGGGGCCTCAACTCTATTTCTACCAATTCTTACTAAAAATGTTAAATTTATAGAAGCCTTTTTCTGTATTGGGTATGCTGCAAAGGAGTGGTTTTTGAGCCTTGGCTCTCAGCAGGCCGTTTTATTGTTATTAAACATCTCTGCACTGTCTTCCTCCTGTCACCGAGTGACTGCCTTTCTGAAGCGGTGGGTGGGAGCGGGCGCCTGGCGAGACTCCTGGAGGGGCGGATGCGCCCCACGTGGTCCTGCCCCAACCGCCGCTCCAGGTGGGAGCTGAGGGCTGGTGGGCGCAGGCTATTGGCCGGGAGCGGAGGGGCGGGGCCTGGCCCGGGCGGGGCTCGCCATTGGCCGCGCGAGGGAGGTGAGGGGGCGGGGCTCCGCGCGCGGGGCGGGGCGGCGCTCGGCATTGGCTGTGAGAGGCGGGTGAGGCCCGCGTGACGGCGCGTGCGTGCGCGAGCTGCGGCGGCTGGGAGTGGGGAGCCGGCCGTGCCGCGCCGCCGGTTCGGGGCCATGATCCGGAACGGGCACGGGGAGGCAGGCGGCGCCGAGCGGCCGGGCCCAGGGGGCAGGCGTACCGTGCGGGTGTGGTGCGACGGCTGGTGAGCGCGGTGGGGGGCGGGGGGCACGGGCGGGGCCGCGGTGACAGCTGTGGTCTCCTTCGCCGGGGTCGGGCGGCCGGCTAGTGCGGGGCGGGCGGCGCCTCGGCCGCGTAGGACGCCTGGAACCCGGGTCACCGCGTCGCCGCGGGCAGCGCGGCTGAGGGTTGCTGGAGTCTTTCTGCGGATCCCTACATGAGCGCCTTCCCCGGACGCTCCTTCTCTCACGTTTGCCTTTAAGCCGGAGACCCAGCAAGGCTGTCCCACCTGCCTAACTCGTGCACGATAGTGGCCAAAGTTGCGTGTCTAACCTTGATGACTTTAATCATCTCAGTGCCCTAGGAGCTCTTTTTGTCAGAAGGAGCCGTGCACCCAAAATGTCTTCCCAGAGTTCTCCTTGTCCGGCTCCCAGCTTGCCGGCACAAAACCAGGAAGGTTCTTCTAGGTATCTGGGCAAGCGTCAGCGCAGGCATTGCCCGATCTACGTAAGACCCTAATGAAGCCCCCAGGCTCCTGGGTCCATCTGAGGAGGGCTACAGTGCCGAACTGTCCTCTTTTCTGGCAAGCCAGATAGCTGGAGTGGTGTTGAGATAAGTTTGAGGCCGTCAGCAGACAGGAGGAAAGTGAACCTCTAGTGATAAGTTGACGACTTGGATGCTTCCTCAGACCTCATTTGATGGAAGCAGAGAAAGAAAAACATCTGGCTAGCCCAGGGCTTCAGCGGCCAGCAAGTGGGGCTGCCATACTCCTGGGCCTGCACCTGAGTCACCTTGTGGAGGGGGCGTGGCTTCCTGTCCGTTGACTCTGACCTTGGCCCTGACCAGGCCTGGCCCCTGCCCCAGCAGGCCACAGCCACGGCCACAGTGACTGGGATACAGCCTGGACCCAGGTCCACCCTGCATTCTGTGCCATGCACCCTCCTTCTGCCCAGCCTGTCCAGTGGGCACAAGGGCCTGCCAGGCTCCTGAATTTGGACTTCCCTCTTCCCTTAGCCCAGGACCAGAGCCCTGTGCCCCACAGGGTTGTCTGCTGGAGCCTGATGTGCTGGGGTGGGGCTAGCAGGTGGCGCTGAGCAGAATGGTTTTGTACACCTGGGTCACCTGGAAAAGCAGGGACAGCTCCACCTACTCAGAGGGCAATACAAGGCTGGGAAGAAGCAGAGTGAGAATGAGGGCCCACCTCAGGGCCCACAGAGAAGTGGATGTCCCCTCCGCCACACATGGCAACCCGAGTGGAGCTGTGGTGCTGTGTGTGGCCTTCAGCTGAGAGTTCACTCTTAACCAGGCCTGGATTTGAGGATGAAAGCTCTAGTACCAGGTGACAGGGAGGTGGTTGTTGGCCCCAGAGAGCAAAGCTTCACTGAGTTTCCAGAGGCCTTGGGGAGCAGGCAGGATTTCTAAAGCCAGTGACTGCCCTTGTTCATTGGCTGGACTTTGTTTCGTGTTCGCCCGCGGGACTGTCTGGCTGTTTCGCGGTAGTACAGAGCCCAGTCCACCCCTGAACTAACATTGCCTTCTATTACCTTTCAGAGGGACTGCCCGTGACAGTTTGTATTTGGGAAGGGGAGGGGCTGAGGGCAGAGTGCTGTCCCAGGTGTGGGGAGCAGGGGCTGTTCTGTGCACTCACCAGCCCTCAGGTCTGCCAGGCCTTGTCCCCGGGCACAGCCATGCTCGCTCAGTCTGACCTTGAGCCCAGGGGCCAGTAATGTGGAGAGCTGAGCACCCCGCCCCTCTGAAAGCCCAGGCCCAACCGGAACCTGGGAGCAGTTCCCCATGGTGGCTTCTCAGAGGGCTTCCTAAGGATACTGCAGAGGAGCAAGACTGCACCCCCAACACTGGGATGATGGCCCTGCCCTCTCCACAGCTATGACATGGTACATTATGGCCACTCCAACCAGCTGCGCCAGGCACGGGCCATGGGTGACCACCTCATCGTGGGTGTACACACTGACGGTAAGCCGGGCTGCCAGGCCCACCCTCCTCCCTCACGCCCGTGACAGACGCCACAGGTCCCCGTGGTGGGTAGGGCCAGGCCCAGCCGTCCTCCCCAGAAGTGCAGCTCCACAGGCTCGCCCCAACCCCGGCCCAGGCCAAGCCATCCAGAGCTTTCCCGTCTTGCATCCTGTCGTGAGCTTGGGGGGCAGGGGTGGTCCAGTGGATCAGCTGAGGGCCCGATGAGAGACAGCCTCCCACCGTGAGCCCTCATGTGGCCGCAGACCCTGCTCGATTCTGGGAGGGGACTTCTGAGGAGGAGCCAGTGAGCCTGTGGCCAGCCTTCCAGGGGTCACCCACCTTGTTCTTTGCCCTCTTTTCTCTCCCTAGAGGAGATCGCCAAGCACAAGGGGCCCCCGGTGTTCACTCAGGAGGAAAGATACAAGATGGTGCAGGCCATTAAGTGGGTGGACGAGGTGGTGCCAGCAGCCCCCTATGTCACCACGCTGGAGACGCTGGACAAGTACAGCTGCGACTTCTGCGTCCACGGCAGTGAGTCGGCAGGGCAGAGCCCCCGGGGCAGGGGAATTGGGCAGCTCCAGACCTGACCATCAGAGGGGCGTCCGGAGGTGCCGGCCTCCTCACACTTTGGGGAGCACAGAGCTTTTGAGGGTCTGAGGAAGCTCTGGGTCCTTCCCCAGAAAGGAGCGCATGCACACCAGGGCAGGCCTGGAGCCAGGGTATGGGCCTGGAGGTCTTCATGGCTTTGGGTTAAGATCCTTGTTCTTGTGTGCGTGTCACCCCTTAGATGATATCACGCTGACTGTAGATGGCCGGGATACCTACGAGGAAGTGAAGCAGGCTGGGAGGTACAGGTAAGCTCTACTTGCTGAGTGCCCCGCTTTTCGAGGAGCGGGGCTCCCAGCTCCCATCGAGCTCCTTCTGCCTGAGAGGGCAGCGTCCGGGCCGCAGCCTGTTTCTTGTGGCCTGGACTGGAGCTGGGGGTGCCATACATCTGCATCGCCCAGTACGGTAGCCACTGGCCACGGGCAGCTGCTAAGCAGGGGAAACGTGGGGTATGACTGGGGAGCTGGCTTTTGTTTGAGTCACTTTAATTGAAAAGGCTAGTGTGGCCAGCAGCTTGAATGGGGCAGTGAAGCCTGGGGTTCCCTTGGCAGGGAGTGTGTGATGAGGCAGGACCTGGGCGTCAGTGGACAAAACAGGACCAGAGCCACCCTGTATGGCCTGCTCACTCCGACACTGCAAACTTGGGGCTTAGTGACAGCGTTCTGTCCAGTCATTTCCTTTGGTTGATAAAATCTCAGTGGTCCCTCCACTCTCCTGGTCTTGGTTTTTTGTTGTGGCTGAGAGTGGCGAGGAGATGCCCGGGTCTGTGCACAGCATGGCTGGGGGCTGGACCACGGTAGACTCAGCCACAAGCAGAGTTGCCCTTAGGTGGGGCAACTTAGGTGCCCATAGGAGGTGCAGCCTTGCAGGTGTGTCCCAGGATGAGAGCCCCACCCCCAACTCTTTTCCCAGAGAATGCAAGCGCACCCAGGGGGTGTCCACCACAGACCTCGTTGGCCGCATGCTGCTTGTGACCAAGGCCCATCACAGCAGCCAGGTGAGTCTTGGGGCCAGAGCGGAATCCCCGAGGTCCCAGAGCTGGGAGGGAGGGATCGCCTACCCCACCCTTGCCCCTCAGTGGGCACTAGGACAGCAAGCTTCGGTGTCCTGGGGTTGGTTGCGTCTGGAGGGCAAGGCCCCTCAACCCCCTGCCCTTCCGTGCAGGAGATGTCCTCCGAGTACCGGGAGTACGCAGACAGCTTTGGCAAGGTGAGTGTCGCCTGTGCTGTCTGGGCCGCTGCCCAACCCCCAGGCCACCCCTGGGGAAAGACTGGCCTGGAGCCTTGCCCTCTACCCTGCTCCCTGCTTTCTGGACACTGACCGGGTACTGACCGCCAGTCTTGCTGGCTGGCCGGTCCCAGCGGCCACTGCATGGAGGAGAAGTGAGGACTGCCCGCGTACGAGGGGTCTCTAACCAGGTGGCCTGGTCCTCTCTCCCTCTGTAGCTCTCTCACCCGACACCCTCCAGGGAGACACTTTCCTCAGGAGGCTCCTCCCAGGTGACCAGACGGTGGCCTCAGGGTGCCAGGTCCCCACGAGGGCCGTGTCCACTGGCCTCTTCCTAGCGGGTTCAGTGCCAGGCCAGGGTGGCGTTGGCTGCAGCGCCTGCTGTGGCCATGGGACAGAACCCCAGACCCACCGGCCATAGCGGCCCCGCCCAGCCTGGTTGTGGTGTGAACCAGGCACCTGCCAGCCAGCCCTCGGCATCCCTGCCTGAGATGTCTGCCTGGAAACAACAGCAGAGCGACAAGCGAGTGGCAGGCTGTGGCTAGGGGTTTGGAGTCCCGGCCTATAGCCCCCATGCCTGCCCCCGCCATCTCACACCTGTGCCGCCCAGAGCAGACTGACAGGCGGATGCGGGCAGGCCCAAGGATGGGCACAGGCAAGGGACGTGCCTGCGAGGCCTCTGTCGCTGACCAGGTTGTTCTCGGCTTACAGTGTCCTGGGGGGCGGAACCCTTGGACGGGGGTGTCCCAGTTTTTACAGACATCCCAGAAGATCATCCAGTTTGCTTCGGGGAAGGAGCCCCAGCCAGGGGAGACGGTCATTTATGTGGCTGGTGCTTTTGACCTGTTCCGTATCCTCTGGGACTGGGTCGGGGGTTGTCCCTGCCCCAGGCCTTTTCTGTGCATTTCTACATCTGCCCCAGTGGGCTGTGGGGGCTAGAGGGGCCTCCCTGACTCTCGAAGGCCCAGGATTGCGGTGGGGTGCAGGGGCACCACTATCAGCATGGAGAGGCATGAGCAGGTGGGTGGGAAGGTACCTGCCTGAGCCCCTGCTTCTGTGGGCAGCCGCTCCTCATTGGTTCCTCAGTCCTTAACCTGGGCACAGACATCGGGCACGTGGACTTCCTGGAGAAGGTACATGGCCTGGCGGAGAGGCCCTACGTCATCGCCGGCTTGCACTTTGACCAGGTCTCACCCCGGGCAGCCGGTAGCGTGGGGGCTCTGGAGGGGCTCCTAGGGTTGGGGTTGGGCACAGGCGAGGCAGAGGTGGCAAGCTTGGGCCTCTTCCCAGGGAGAAGCCCAGGGAGAGCCTGCCATCGAGGGCTTCCCCACACTGGCAGACGCCCCACGAGGGATTGTTGGGAGGGAGCACGGCCTCACTCCCACCCCAGCTCACCTCTGAGGTCACCAGCTGACCCAACCTTGTTCTGGCTCTAGGAGGTCAACCACTACAAGGGGAAGAACTACCCCATCATGAACCTGCATGAGCGGACCCTGAGCGTGCTGGCCTGCAGGGTGAGTGCAGGCGGGCAGGTGGCAGGCCCAGCGGCGCCTCCTTCCAAGGCTGGAGCTGCTTCTCCGCAGGACCCTCCCCGGGGTACAGGAGCCTGGGGCTTCACCATGCTGCCTCTCAGCCCCTACCCCACAGCCTGGTGAGGCCCATCTAACCAGCTGTGCTCCCTTTCTGCCCAGTATGTGTCCGAAGTGGTGATTGGGGCCCCGTACTCGGTCACAGCAGAGCTCCTGGATCACTTCAAGGTGAGGACAGGGCTCCTGGTGGGCGGCTTCCAGGGAGGGTCTTGACTGAGTGGCACCAGGCCAGCTCTCTGAACCCAGGCTGCTTCCCTGGAGAGGGCCTTCTCGGGGCAGGGGACCATGGGGGGAGATGCTGGGAGGGCGCCCTGACCCCCGCCTCCTCCCCAGGTGGACCTGGTGTGTCATGGGAAGACAGAAATCATGCCTGACAAGGATGGCTCCGACCCATATGAGGTGGGTCATGCTGGGCCCTCGACAGACATGAGGTGGCCACTGTCTGATGCTTCCCAGCCACCTAACGCCCCCGCACCTCATCATGCCTGTCTGGGAAATGGGCAGGATGACAGCTGCCACGCTGATGGCCTCACGGCTTAAGGAGGCAGGTTGCTAACGGGTGGGAATAACTGCCCCCACCATAGTGGGGTGGGAACTCTCTGAGCCAGGGCAGCAGGGCAGTCTTCTTGGGGTCCAAAGGAGGGCTCTCACCTCCTCCTCCTCCTGGCCTCCAGGAGCCCAAAAGAAGGGGTATTTTCTGTCAGATCGACAGTGGGAATGACCTCACCACGGATCTCATTGTCCAGCGCATCATCAAGAACAGGTGAGTCTCAGCCAGGCTGCTGGGGGCACTGGAAGCCGCTGAGGCTTGGGTATGGGTGCACCACTCACCCCCACCTGGCCCCCAGGCTGGAGTACGAGGCCCGGAACCAGAAGAAGGAGGCCAAGGAGCTGGCCTTCCTGGAGGCCATGAGGCAGCAGGAGGCGCGGCCCGAGAGGGAGAGCGACTGTGACTTCTGACCAGAGGGGAGAGGTCGCCAAGGGTCCTCTGAGTGCTGGCCCTGTCCCAGCCCTGCCTCGAGAGCTTGGCTCGGTTTTTAACAAAGCTGCGGTGCCCTCCTTTCCAACCATCTGGCCATGGAAGGGCTGGTGTGGAGGACACTGCCTTTCACCCTGCCTGTGAGGTGTCCGTCTTGCAGCAGGCCCTCCTGCCCTTCCTGCCGAGCTGCACAGTGAGGGGATCCAGCACAGTGGAGCAGCCCAACAGGCAGGATGAGCAGGGGGCACCTTCAACAGAGGTGTGCCACCCTGCGTGCCCGGAAAGGCCCAGTTTCCATCCTTCTGGCTTCGCTGCTGCTCTCCATTCTGCCCCCAGGAAGCTCCTGCAGACCCTGGATGCCCCCACCGCCCAGCTCGAGGCCGTGGCCTTCCTGCCCGCCCGGCCTCCGTGGGAGCCAACTTCAGGGAGCAGTGACCCAGGGCCCCGACCCCTTTCCTCCTCAGAGTGCAGACCATGTCACCTCCCACATGAGCGGCCTCTGCCCTGCAGTGTGTCCCTGGCGCCCCGGGGCCTGTCGCCCGGACGCTGCACCCCCTGCTTCCCGGGCCAGCCTCCCCACAGACTATTCTTGGTTTTGTACCTGACCAGCTGGTGTGCAACCAAATAAACCTGCTAGGAGGTGCTCTGCCTCAGGCTCTCAACCCTGCAGGGCAGGACCAGGAAACCCACCACCTTGGCCGTGCTCCCCGCTGCCCACCCAGCAAGGAGGGGGCCAGCAGGCAGCATGATGGCAGCAAGGAACCCCCCAGATCGGGCCCCCAGACACCTCCAGCTGCCTCCCACGTGGCAGGCGACAAAAAAAGGGGAGGGAGGCAAGGACCAACAGAGTACCTTTGGCCCCAGGGTCTGTCATGGGGAAAATGAGAGGCGGACACCCCGCGGCCCACATAGAGCTACCTGATCCAGGAAGGAATTAGGGGCTGCTCCCTGGCCCAATCCACAGAATCTCAAGGTCTTCTGCACCCAAGTCAGGGTGCACTTGGAGTAGTGCAGTGGCTGCAGGGTGCTGACCCAGGTCACCTCTTGATGGGGTGGGGGGGGAACAGTGGCAGTGGTTTATGGCTCTGTGGTGTTCAAGAGTGAGGACTGTGATGTTTTCTCAGTCCTCTGCCAGTTTCCTCCAGAATGGCCTCTGCCCTGCGCTGCTGAGCCAGATGGGGCTGGAGTACCCTGTGGCCCGGCCCCATGGGAGCCCCTGGCCAGCGGTCACTCCTTCTGGAAGGTGGGCCTGTCCTTTCTTTTGGTCCTTAAGGTCCAGCCTAGAACCCGTGCAGGAAGCTGCAGTGGGGGACTACGGTGCACGCACCCTGGCCGGGCAGCTGCTGCCTTGCTTCCTTTGTTCCCTCCTCGAGTGGGGGGAGCTCACTAAGCTGTGAGAGGCACAGGGCCCTCCCTGCACCCCCACCCCACCTGGGCCCCCAATTTCAGGAGCCCAGTGATGCCAGACTTTCCCACGCTCAGATCCCTGGGGGGCAGGGATCAGCCAGTCCCCTGTAGACTGATGTAAGTGTGGGACACAGGAGAGGCCGGAGGGTTCCTCTTGAGACTGGAGTCAGCCCTAGGCCTGCTGAGAACCCCCTGCTGGGTGGCACCTCAAGGTGAGGACTGGGGAACAGTCCGCAGCAGCAGTCAGGAAGCCCCAGGTGAGCCACGCATGGTTGGAGGAGACTCAGGGCCTGGGGGTCCAGGAAGTGGGCTCCTCCAGAGACTGGTCCACCCAGGTGCAGCAGGATTGCGGGTCCCACCCCCAGCCTAAGTGGAGGGCCGGTAGGTCCAGCTGGCAAGGCCCCATGGGGGTGGGGGACACCACTGAGACAGGCTGCAGACCTCTGGGACCAGGGCTCAGGCCAAGGACTCAAGTCAACTTCATTGGGGGTGGGGAGGGCAAATCAACCTGCTAAGATGCCCACGAGTGAATTAGGGAATTAGCCTGAGTGTGAGGTGGGGGGAGGCTGGCACAAGGCAGCTGTGCTCAGGAGCTTTGGCCCTACACAGCCCCTCCCTCTTCAAGGTGGGGCAGCACCCATTGCTTTGGGGATATCTGCTTCCCTGTGGGTCTAGGGAGGGCTGAACAAAGAGTTCCCAGGCCTGGGAGGAGCCAGCTGCCTGACGTCAGATTCAGGATTCAGCTGCGGTGGCGCCCAGCTTTGTCATCCCCCTGGTGCAGCCCCTCCTGGTCCTGGAGCTGCACATCTGGCTGCTTTCCCACTCCTGCTGGGCCCAGCCTATTCATTAATTCACTTGGCACAAGTATTGTCCTGTGCTGTGTACTTTGAGGAATTTTGGGGGGCTCCAAGAAGAGTGACCCCAGAGCTGCCCCTCTGGTAAGGGAGATCTTTGGTCTCAAGAAACCTAGGATTTGAGGCAGGAGGGCCTCCCGGTGTGGAGTGTTCAGGGGAAGCTTTTATAAGGCAGGACATTTGAGCTGGCCTAATAGACTTGATGGCTAGTGGGCGACCCAGGCACCACCTCCTGGGAGGATCCAGGAGCTGCGTGGACAAAGGCAGGGAGGTGTCGGGTAGGGGCTGGAGGTGGGGGACATGGAGAGCAGCCTTGCAGAGCCAGATGTGGGGCTCCAGAAGATGTCTGGGGCCGATACAGCTGGAGGCCCAGCAGCATTTTGCCAGCAGTGGGGCTTGGGAGCTCCTCTGCAGGTGTTTCCGTGAAGCCTGTTGGCCTGAGGGCCCTAGTTGCTGTCTGTGCTCCTAGGTGGCCAGAGTCCGGTTTGGAGATTCACAGGTACTTGCCCACTCCGTCTGCTGGGCCACCCGCCCCCCTGGAGGCTGCGAGTCTCATTTATTCATTAAGCCATTCACTATGGGGATGGGTGGGCGGTACTGGGTGCCATCTGGTGCCAGGGCAAGGGCAGGCCCCAGGGTGTGCCCGCGGGAGCCAGGCCAGGTCCACGCTCCGGGATCGGGCTTCACGTGCTGCGATAGTCCGCGGCGCGGAGTGACAGGAAGACGTCGGCCTTGCACTGGAACATGGCTCGGCCGTCGGGGAGCCGCTCGCAGCTCTGCAGGTTCCGGGTAACGTCCTCGACGCACACGGCCTGGGGGCGGGGGGAGGAGGAGGGGGCGTCCGCACCTCTCCAGCGCCCCGCACCCTCCAGCGCCCAGTACTCACGAGGCCCCGCAGGCTGGGGCGCAGCTCCGGGAAAGGCGCCAGCCCGTCCCGGGGGTCCCGTGCCCACGAGGGGGCTCGGAGCGCCGCGCGCACGGCGACCTGCGGAAGCCGGACAACAGCCCCGCGGCGCAACCCACGGAGTAGTAGGCCGGCCCCGCCGCCTGCTTGTACCACGCGAGGCTGGGGGGCGCCAGCAGCAGGCACAGCGCCAAGGCGGCGGCCACCAGCATCGCGAGCCCGGCCATGGGGACGCGGGCGGCGGCGGGCGGCGGGGCGCGAAACAGCAGCACCGGCGCCTTATATCTGCGGCTGGGTGGGGCGAGGTGCGAGGGCGGACGCCGGGACGCAGGGGCCTCCCCATCCCAGAGGGAGAAGCCCCATGGGGTCAGCGCCTATTGGGCACAGGGGCGCGCTGGAGGAACAGATGGTCGAGAGCTTGGTGGTGATGAGACGCCCCCTTCTCCCCCACCCCGGCCCACCTCCCCGTTTCTGACCCTGCCTGCTCTTACTGGGAGGCGGCCCCCAGGCCACTCCCACCAACCTTGGTCCCTCCTGGGTCTGGCCTCAGTGGGAGCGGGGGCAGCAGTGCTGCACTGAACCCTCAACCAGTCCGATGGCGCCCCAGCCCCGAGTCACCCCCGGAGGTCCCCAGCACTCATGAGGCTGGAGAAAGAGCCACTGACTGCACTGTGCCCAGGGGACAAACAAGCAGTTCCCACCCTAAAGGGGAACTGACCAGACGACAAGGGCTTCTTGAGGAGGCACGGAAGTCTGGGAGGGCCTGGGGGCAGAAGTCAGTTTCAACAACTGGTCTGGTCCTCAGAGCTGATGGCAGGACAGGCAGAATGGCTCACAGGAGAGATGAGGGGAAGCCAGGGGAGAGCATTTGCAAAGGCAGGTGCTGTGATCCTGTGCCACCATGGCGGAGAGAGAGCTGAGGTTATGGGATCCTGAGAGGACCTGGTGTGGCCCCTGAGCTTCCCGGGAGAGGGCAGATGGCTGGACTCTGGGTGTGTGCAGGGCCTGGCAGGCAGCTGTGTGTCCAGCTCAAGGGGACCAAGCAGGCCCTGGGAGGACTGGGCTGGAACCCAGGAAAGAGTGGAGAGGAGCCCACCTGGCAGGGAAGGGGCAGTGGCCTGCCAGGAGGACCATGTGACCTGTGGCAAGCTGTGGACCCCTCTGGGGTGAGTGCACCTGTCCCAGTGCAAGAAGGCTAAAAGCCTGGAGGCTGGGCTCAGGGTCTGGCACCCCAGGCATGTGGGTACTTCCTGTCACAGGAGAGCATTCCCCAGGGAAGGAAGGACCTCAGGGAGGGGAGGCGGACTGGGGGTAGGCCAGATGGAGGCCAGGCCCCGCAGTGGGACCCTCTACAGTTGCCACAGCCCACTTCTCAGTGAGGGCTGGTCTTCCTACTGGTCTGTGAGCTCCTTGGTGACCCTGGATCCAGACAGTGTAGACAGGCCCCTAGAGTAGAGCTGCTGCCTAGAAACTGGCAGCCAAGTAGGAGCACCCAGGAGGCTGAACCCAAGGGTCCAAGATGGAGGGCACACAGCAGGCGACGTCAGCCATTAGGCTTGCTCAGCTGCCCGTCCTCCTGCTCACACTTTCCAAACATCCTGGCCACGTGCCTTCCCAGGACAGACACCAGCACAAGGGCCCTGGCAGTTGGGTTTCTGGGCAAGGAGCACATGACCTCCAGGTTCTGTGAGGGCTTCCTTTCCTCTGGGCACAATGTTCAGATGGGAAGCATGGTACCACATGGGTGACCATGCACTGCCCAGTCTTCTCGCCTGGGGACTGGGGACAGGTAAAGTAGCATAAAGGTGCTCAGCAACCAGCTACAGGACAGTGGCCCCGAGGGGGGAGGTCATCGAGAATAGACTGGAAGGAGCCAGTGCTCACAAGACATGCAGCCTGCAGCGGTCTCCACCCAGAAGCTGCACAAGACCATTAGGTCTGGGACCGCTGCCCCCCAGGGGCCACCACCCCATGGGAGCTGTGGTGGAACAGAAGTGCTCAAAGATGGCCCAACGGCTGTCCTTCCCTAGGAAGGGAGACCCTCAGGCACCTGCAGACACATCCTAACGTCAAGGACATCACCCCTGACAAGGAGCTGGCTTTCAGTTGGAGCAGGGGAGAAAGGGATCAAGAAAACCCATCACAGCTGCCTCAGCAGAGCCGGTTCAGCACCACCAGCACCTGCTCAGGGAGGGCCCACCGGCAGGAGGAACCAAAGCAGTGGCCAACAGCTGTGTCCTGCCAGGGTCCTAACGACCAGCCTGAAGAGTGGTCCGCAGGGCTCCGCACGGCTAGGCTCTTCAAGCCGCTGAGCCCGTCCCTCCTACCCCGGCTCCTCCAGCTGATCCCAAGCTCCTTCTCCTCCAGGGGATGTGACTCAGGGCCTCGCGGAAACACAGCGAGATGTTTATTCATGAGAGTTTTCATTTCGGCGCACACCAAGACAGCCTCAGCACCAAGAAAACAAGCAACGGGAGG